AGGAACCACTAGTAAACCTGCAGATTGAGAGCAAAATGCTCTGTTAGGAACATAAGGAACATTCATATCTATGTTATAAGATGGAGCTTGGCAATTTAAGGCTTTATGTGAGAAGGAGGATTTTAAATTCTATTCTGGATTTAACAGGAAGCCAATGAAGAGAAGCCAGGATAGGAGAGATATGATCTCTCTTTTTAATTTTCATCAGAACTCTGGCTGCAGCATTTTGGATCAGTTGAAGGCTTTTAACTAGAGTTTGTGGACTTCCTGATATTAAAGAATTACAATAGTCCAGCCTCGAAGTAACAAATACATGGAGATTTCTAATTTTTGCAATATTCCATGGATGAAAGAAGGAAATTCAAGAAACCTCTTTAATTTGGATTTAATACACAGGTCCTGATCAAAAACAACACCAAGATTTTTTACTTTATTATCTGAAATCAGTTTAATCCCATCCAAATGAAGTGACTGGCTAATCAGTTTCTTTTTCAGAGACTCTGGTCCAAAGACTATAACTTCTTTTTTGTCTGCATTCAGAAGCAGAAAGTTAAGAGTCATCCAGGTTTTTATGTCTTCAAGACATGCCTGTAATCTATGTAATGGGTGAGCTTCATCTGGATTTATAGACAGACAAAGCTGGGTATCATCAGCATAACAGAGGAAATTAATCCCATGCTGTCTAAAAAATTCTACCGATTGGGAGCATATATATAGTAAAGAGAATTGGTCTTTTGAAAAGTCAAGACCTTAATAAAGATTAGGCTAATTTTAGAGTTTAGATTTTGTTTTCAGGTTCAAAGATCACATATCAAATTACATCCAAATAATGGGATAATGAAATATGTTATTAAGAAAGTATTGTGGAATTCTGAATAAATATATCTGTATTTTCTTATTTGAATTTTTTTATATGATAATCAGATTTAGAAACCCGAAAATATTTATCTGTGTCATTTTTCTCACATTTTTAACTCATCTGTACTTTTGAATTCAGGTGGGTCTGAGAGTTTCCTTTAATATCAGGTTGTTGCTTCATAGGTTCTAAGTAGCTGTGCGATCTATACTCCCTGGTAAACATCTCATACGGGTACTTTATTGTTCATTGGGCTTTTTAAAATGATCTTTTAATGTTTTAAAATGTTCCCTGTGGAGTCTGAGATAAAATGCCAAACATGAATGAAAATAATCCTGTGTTCAGTTTGTTCTCACTAACCTCTTCTAAAGGTCTGCAGCAGCTGATTTCTGACTGAAACTTCATATTCTGACTGTTTTCCAGGTGGAGATGTTCTCCTGGTGAGCCCCGTCCATCCTGTGACTGAGGGAGCTTCTGTTACTCTGAGCTGCAGACTCAGAGGACAAAATACACTTTCCAATGTGTTTTTCTATCACAATGACACACTGGTACAAAATGACAGCAGAGGGGAGCTGAA